GTACTGCGGGGGGGAGGGGGAATGAGTTAGGCGGAAGGGGGCAGTGCGCGGAGGAGGGAGGGGGGTTGGGTGCGGAGAGGGGACTCGCTGCGCCTCAGACTCGCTGCGCCAGGCCTTGCCCCTGCAGCTCCACAAACTGCACTGCGAGGGGGTAGGGGGGAGGGGGAAAGGGGAAGCGGGGCGGGGAAGGGCGGAGGTGGGAGGGGGGTTTTGAGCGGAGAGCAATTTAAAACCGTTGTGCCAGCCCCTGCCCTTGCAGCTCGACGAAATGCACTGCGAGGAGAAGAAGACGCGATGTGATGGGGGAAGGGGACGAGGAGAGGCCGCTGAGTCGCCAAGGAAAGTGGCGGACAGCGGTGGAAAGGGGGAATTACAAAGGGGGAAAGTAGTGGGAAGAGTGGGGGAAGAGGGTGACGGGGAGAATGCGGCGGAGGGTGGAGGGCGGAGGGCGGAGGGCGGAGAGGCGGAGGGCGGAGAGGCGGAGGGATGTGCAGTTATCTCCCTCGTTGACCGATCATATTTTCGCCCCGTCCGAGCCGATTTGGCGGGCTGCCTGCTGCTGATTGCGATCGCCGGCTATTCCGCGGATCTACCAGTCAAACAACGGCCGTCAGAGAAATGGCCGTCAGAGAAATGGCCGTCAGATAAATGGCCGTCAGATAAACCACCGTCAGAGAATTGGCTACCACAAAAAGAATGCAGGCAGCGGCTTGCCTTTTGATTGACACGTGGTGATGACGAACCCCATTGGCGCGCTGCTCACGTGGCGACGAACGGCGGTCAGACACGTGGAGGGGTGGAGGCGGGAGAAGAGCGCGCAAGCCCTCATGGGAACGGCTCAAGACATTTGGGAAAAAGCAGGCGGTGAATTGAGGTGGATACGAGGAGGATAATTTTGAGTGAGGGTAGTGATCATTCTGGATATTAGATGTTCCGCCGCAAAGACTTGTTACATCCCATTTTCATGAAATCTTCATTTTCTCATGTACAACTACAAAAAAAAAACACAGGTATCCCTCTATGACTACAACTACACTGCACATGCAACCATCACTTCATGACGCTCCCTTCCAAGCCTCCCCATCACCCACACAGAACCCAACAGCGGCTATGCAATGTAGTATTTGAGTGGGAAGACGGCAATCTCGGACGGGTCGCGACGAGCTTTGTACGGTAGAATGTATCCCCAATCAAGCTCTTTGTACACATTGAATGCGGCCATGGCCACGCGCTTGGACACTCTATGCAGTGGCAGTGCTCTTGTGTGCGGGCGGGAAAATCGCAATCTCTGACGGGTCGCGGCGGGCCTTGTAAAACTTGTCCTCCAGCTCTTTCTCCACATTGAATGCGGCAATGAGCACGTGCTCGGAGAGACCCTTGAACACTGATGTGGCCCCGGCTAGGAAGGACGGCGGGGAGAGTGGGCGGTTGGCGATGGCAATCCACATCATTCCCTCCTCAGACGCCTCCTGTGTGGTTTAAGAGCCAAGGGAAGGCGGGAGGGTTTAGGGAGGAGGTTGAATAATTTGAAGGATGAAGGGAGCAAATGAATGACAATGAATGGGGAGGACGAGGGGAAAGAGAGAGTGGGAAGAAGGGATGTACCATGGAGGAGGGGAAGAGCACAGGCACGGCAATGACATCCCCGATACGCACGTCACGGTGCAAAGCGGTGGGGAGTGCCGCCGAGGGAAAGTGGACGTACCATGGAAGAAGGGAAGAGTGCAGGAACAGCAATGACATCCCCGGTATGAACGTCACGGTGCAGAGCGGTGCGGCCGTCAGGATACACCACCTCCATGCGGCCACTGCCCGCCAGCACCACGTGCAGGATGGCTGCATTGGGATACCAGTGGGGGGCTAGCAGAGCATTTGGCTGGAGAGGGGCAGGGAGCAGGAGAGCAGGGGAGCAAAAAAGCAGGGTAGCAGGGGAATAGAAGATAGCATGAAGCGCCATATCAACTGTCAGGGTAGACCACCTCACTGCCCGCCAGCACCACGTGCAGGATGGCCGCACTGGAGTACCAGTGGGGGGCTAGGAGCGCATTGGGCTGGAGGGGTGGAGGGATGGGGCAGAGAGCATGGAAGGACAAAATAGATAACTGATCACAGGAACAATTATGATCACAGGAACAATTATGATCACAGGAACAATTATGATCACAGGAACAATTATGATCACAGGAACAATTATGATCACAGGAACAATTATGATCACAGGAACAATTATGATCACAGGAACAATTACGATCACAGGAACAATTATGCAGATAGGAGAGTTTTGCAGAGAGGGGCAGAGCAGCGCAGAGAGAAAGGTGCAGAGAGGAGTGGACAAGCAGAGTGAGGCAGAGGCAGGGGCAGGGGCAGAGGGACGCACCTGGAGGTGGTAAAGGAAAGTGGAGAGCCCAACATGGTGCAGCACGGGCAGCTTGGAACGATCCACCACGAAGATGTCTCCTCCCTTGGGCACCGACACGTCGGGTGCCGAGATCAGAGGAGCAGAAAAGAAGAGAAGCTGACCTGGAGGTGATACAAGAAAGCAGAAAGGCCGACGTGGTGCAGCACGGGCAGCTTGCTTCGATCCACCACGAAGATATCTCCTCCCTTGGGCACCGACACATCAGGCGTCGCGTGAGCCAGGCTGTACTTGAAGCGTGTGAAGGGCGAGATGTCCCCCATGCGCATGTGCTGCACACCGTTGCTGCCCTCCATGCTGATGCTGTCTAGCATCTCCCCGTCCGTGCCCTCTTCCAGCATCGCCTGCAGCTCTGCGGCCAGGCGGGGGGCGTTGTGCTGCCATTGGGAGGGGGAGAAAGGAAAGGTGGAAGTGAGAGTGTGAGGGGGGGCATTCTCCTTGACGCTGCAGGCTGCATTCAACATTTCAACCAAACCAATTGGTCACAAGCGCACTGCCATAGCCCAACAGCCACACACCCCACATCGCTCACAGCACACTTGACAGACTCACTTGGCCGATCGCAATCAAACCCACATGCTTCTGCGCCGCGCCTTGCCTCCTCAATGGCCCACCAGCAGCATACAACTATCCACCCCACAGCACACTTGAATGACTCACACTGCCAATCGCAATGAACCCCACGTGCTTCTGCCCTGCCACCAGCCGCTTTGCCTCCTCAGAGGGCCATCAGCAGGATACTCAAATGGCCCACCTCAAGACCCGACAGCAACACACGCACATAGCTTGAATGACTCACACTGCCGATCGCAATGAACCCCACGTGCTTCTGCCCTGCCACCAGCCGCTTTGCCTCCTCCTCCTCCACGTCCCACGCTCTCGCTAGCAGATCCGCACTGCAAGGGAGAGAGAGAGAGTTGAGGGTCGGAGAGAGAGGGAGGGGAAAGAAAGGGAGCATTCAAAAGTCGTCACCAGTCGCTTTGGCTCCTCCTCCTCCACGTCCCATGCCCTCGCTAGCATATCCGCACTGCATGGGAGGAACGGAGAGGGGAGAGAGAGGAAAAGGACGATAGAGAGCAGGAGAATCGAGAGTGAGTGGCAGGGGAGAGAGGAGGATGAAGGAGGAGCAGGAGGCGCACATGCAGCAGCAGAAAGAGGATGCAGAGGCAACCCTAAGCTCTTTACAATGTCCTCCGCTGCCCACATGAACGTTCAGCCGCCCAGCTGCGTGCCTCACTACCGCCCACCTGAGTCTCATTGCCGCCCACCTGAACCCGTGCAGCACGCCGCCGAGCGTCTCGCGTGGCCCGCCCATAAGAGTGAAGGCGTGCACCTCCCCCGCCTCCGCAGCAGAGCGCGTCCGACAGCAGCAGCGCCCTGAGGGGCTCACCTGAACGTGTGCACTCTGCTACTCACCTGAACCCGTGCAGCACGCCGCCCAGCGCCTCATGCGGGCCGCCCATGAGTATGAACGCGTGCACCTCCCCCGCCTCCCCAGCAGAGCGCGTGTCCAAAAGCAGCACTGTGAATCCGTGCCCTCTGCCGCTCACTCACCTGAACCCGTGCAGAACGCCCCCCAGGGTCTCATGTGGCCCGCCCATGAGAGTGAACGCATGCACCTCCCCTGCTTCTGCAGCAGAACGCGTGTCCGACAGCAGCAGCGCCCTGAGGGGCTCTGACCCGTTGTTCCACGCCCAGCTCGCCCAGCCGCGTGGAATTGCCACAATATCGCCTTCTTGGACGTATCTGCGCCCCACAGCAAGTACACAGAAGGGAGAGAAGGAGATGTGAGGCGGAAGGGTGTCGGAAGGGTAAGTCAGAGCGCGTGTCGGACAGCAGCTCCGACCCATTGTTCCACGCCCAACTGGCCCAGGCGCGTGGAATTGCCACAATATCGCCTTCTTGGACGTATCTGCGCCCCACAGCAAGTACACAGAAGGGAGAGAAGGAGATGTGAGGCGGAAGGGTGTCGGAAGGGTAAGTCAGAGCGCGTGTCGGACAGCAGCTCCGACCCATTGTTCCACGCCCAACTGGCCCAGGCGCGTGGAATTGCCACAATATCGCCTTCTTGGACGTATCTGCGCCCCACAGCAAGTACACAGAAGGGAGAGAAGGAGATGTGAGGCGGAAGGGTGTCGGAAGGGTAAGTCAGAGCGCGTGTCGGACAGCAGCTCCGACCCATTGTTCCACGCCCAACTGGCCCAGGCGCGTGGAATTGCCACAATATCGCCTTCTTGGACGTATCTGCGCCCCACAGCAAGTACACAGAAGGGAGAGAAGGAGATGTGAGGCGGAAGGGTGTCGGAAGGGTAAGTCAGAGCGCGTGTCGGACAGCAGCTCCGACCCATTGTTCCACGCCCAACTGGCCCAGGCGCGTGGAATTGCCACAATATCGCCTTCTTGGACGTATCTGCGCCCCACAGCAAGTACACAGAAGGGAGAGAAGGAGATGTGAGGTGGAAGGGTGTCGGAAGGGTAAGTCAGAGCGCGTGTCGGACAGCGGCTCCGACCCATTGTTCCACGGCCAACTGGCCCAGGCGCGTGGAATTGGCACAATATCGCCTTCCTGCACGTATGTGCACACATGCATGCAGCAGCGGGGAACGAGAGAGGGGGGTATAGGGGAAGTCAAGGCGTGTCGGACGGACAGCAGCAGCGCTTTGAGGGGCTCCGAGCTGTTGTTCCACGCCCAACTGGCCCAGCCGCGCGGAATTGGCACCACATCCCCCTCCTGCACCTATCTGCGCACAGCAATGGGACGATTGATGAAAGCGGGAGGGAAGGGGCATTGAATGCGCTTCAAGAAGCAGAGGCTCTAGGCACCCATGAGAGTGAGAAAGGTAAGGGGAGGAGGGGAAGGGGCGCTGCGAAGCGTCGTTGTTCTCTCGTGCAGCGGTGGCAGCAGCAGCGGCAGAGCAGCAGCAGCAGCAACAGCAGCAGAGGGCATACGGTAGGCCAACAACAGTGCAGCGGGGGCATAAGAGCATGGTTCAGGGGCTTCTGAGACAGCTCACAACACACAGCCATGTGAGAGCTGCTCCGTGCACTCACCTGAGCACTCACCTGAGCACTCACCTGAGCACTCACCTGAGCACTCACCTGAGCACTCACCTGAGCACTCACCTGAGCGCTCACCTGAGCACTCACCTGAGGGGAGCAGGAACGCCCATGGGCGAGAGGAGGCTCATGAAGGCACAGCCATGCGTGATGAAGGAGAGCTGTGGGGCGTCGCTGCTGCGTCAGTCAGGGCGAAGCGGCATCAACGGCAGCCGCAGATGGCACACGGTGGGCGCACATACTGGGCGCAAGGCTACCTACACTGCGCGCACCCGAGGGGAGCAGGGACGCCCATGGGCGAGAGCAGACCCATGAAGGCGCATCCGTGCGTGATGAAGGAGGGCTGTGGGGCGTCGTTGCTGCCTCCTGACCTCCTAGCAGCAGCCGCAGCAGCAGCAGCAGATGACAGACGGAGGGTGCACATATGGGCTATCCAACCTCACCTGAGGGGAGCAGGGACCCCCATGGGCGAGAGGAGGCCCATGAAGGCGCATCCGTGCGTGATGAAGGAGAGCTGCGGGGCGTCGTTATATTCCGGCAGGGCGAGAGAAAAGGCTGCTACTTCCATTCGCGCTGCATTCATGTTCGCATCCTGGGAGGGAGAGAGCCGGGAGCACAACGAGACAGTGGAAGGAACAGCGGATTATCCTGCTGAGCAGGATTGCGACACAACCAACAGACGAATTTGCAAAACAGCGAAGTTACACGTCGGTAGTAGTACTGACAAGCAAAACACGGCGAGGTGACTTTTGAGTCGACTCAACAGTCACCCAGTGTTACCGGCAAAACACGGCGGGCCGCACCTTGAAGAATTCGAACTCGCGGCTCCACACGGACAGCGAGCCGCCCTCCGTTTTAATCACATCCTCCGGCGCCGGCGGCAGGAATTCCGCTTCGGACGCGTGCGCGCCGAGAGACAGCAGCGCGCAAACGACGGCGACGCACGCAAGCACGCGCCACGCCATAATGGCCGACTAGTATGTTCAGGGGTGAGTGACGGAGAGTCGAGGGGAGGCACGCACGACACGGACGACACGGGCGAACGGCTGTAGAGAGCGGAGCAGCGCGCTCGAGAGACGGAGACAGACAGAGAGAGAGAGCAGCAAGGTATGGCGAAGGCAAGAACTAACCACTAGGCAAATACATGCGTGAAGAGAACAGGAGAGGGGAGGATAGGAGCCGCGAGGACAGGGAGGCGTGCAGGTGAGGCGCGCGGCGTCGCGGTTCAACTTGCCGAGCGTCGTTCATATCGCCCGCGTGGCGCAGCCTCGTGCGAGCGCGCATGGCGGCCGTCGCTGTACCGAGGCGCTGGCTGCTCGCAGGTGGAGGCAAACTAGGGACATGCGGCTGCGGGTACATGCAGGGACGTAGGGTTGTCGCGATGATGGATGGGTGCGCAAGGTGCGGTAAGGGAGGGTGCGCGATACAGGCGAGGTGAGCCCTTCGGAATTCCCGAGCAGTGTGCTGCACTATTGTACGCGTTTCGGTCGGCTTCTTGCTGGGGGAGATGTAGGCTTCAAACGTGGCATTCGAGAAAACATGTAAACTCAATTCACACAACAATGCCAGCCATTCTTATAACAAATATGCTTGGACGCAGCGCCGCTGGCTGCTCTCGTAGAACAGCGGGCCTCGTGGAGGTAAGCTAGGGGACATGCGGCGGCGGCTCCATGCAAACAATGAGGGAGGGTGCCGGACGGGCAAGGCCAGCCCCTCGAAATCCCCACACTCAGCGTTGTGCTTCGTCACCGAGTTTTGCTCGACTTACTGCTGGAATAGTAAATTAGAAATGTTAGAATCACAGATTGTTATGCATAGATTACAAGAGGAAACAAACACATTATAGAAATTACCGGTGTGTTCAAAGCACCCGGAATGTTCTGGATACATAAACGCAAAAAGGAGACAAGCACACATGTCAAGTGGTGTTGGTCTCTCAGCGTCATTTCAGTGGTCAGTCCCATGGAGAGCGATCGACAACAGCGACCCCAACGGCATGTGCTTTTGAGACATCTGAACAATGCACACCACACAGCAGCTACCCGCACGGAATGTGCAGCGCACCACTGCAGGCATGAAGGAGCAAGGAGCGCGAGATGTGGGCAAGCAAGCCACGGGCATGTGTGGAGGCAGCATGCATGGCCGCCCTGGCGTGTGAGAGCACCGTTGTCAGAGAGAAGCGTGCGTAGCCTGGCAAGTGTCGAATGCTGGTGCTGCCGCTGCTGCTGGTGGTGCTGCTGCTGGTAATGTCATGTGATGTTGGTCTCACAGTGTCATGTCATTGTCAGTGGTCAGTCCCATGGAATGTGCAATCCACATAGCAGCTAGCCCCATGGCATGTGGCGTGAGAGATGGGCGAGCAGGGCGCAGACATGTGTGGTGGCAGCACGCATGGCGGCCCGGGCATGTGATGTTGGTCTCACTCACAATGTCATGTCAGTGGTCCTCGAATACGTCCAGGGCTTGCAGCGTGCGCGCCAGCACCATGGGCAGCGCGCCGCTTCCCCCGCTTCCGCCGCCTCCCCCGGTTCCCCCACTTCCTCCGCTCCCCCCGCTTCCCCCGCTTTCCTCGCTTACTCCGCTTCCGCCGCCCCCGCTCACTTCCCCCATTCCCTCCTGCCCGTCCTCCCCTCGACAAGCGTCTTCCCCATCCGCCTGCATTTCCGCCTCCGCGACTTCCCCCGTCTCCCCCTTCTCCCTCGGAAGCGCGAGCTCTTCCGCGCGCAGCAGCTCCCGCGAGGCCTGCAGCGCGGATTTCACCTGCGCGGCAGTCCCGAGGGGCACCGCGACCACCGCGTCCGGGTCCCACGGCGCCAGACACTGCTGCCCCTCCGCCAGCCCCTGCGCCCGCGCCAGCGCGGCGAGCAGCTGCGCGCGGTCTGGCGGCGCGGCGGACGCGCTTTGAAGCTCGTGGTAGCAGATCTCCCCGACCGTGGACTGCGGCGGGAGGCACGGGGAGGACAAACGGCGCCATATAGATTAAATCTCAGCAACGCAATGAAGAAAAGGAACGCGCATAAGGCAAAGAGACGGTGCGCTTAATGGAAAAAGGGGAGTGACGAAAGGAAATAACCGACGAACCGGACTACGTAAAGGGCTCACCACGGCGGATTGGAGGGCGGAGGTGACCGCGCGCATGCCCGGCAGCACCGCCGCGAAAGCCCCTCTCAAGCTCCGCGCACGGCGGACTCGCGTGCGCCAGCCTCTTTGCGCGCTGGCCCGCTGTCCCCTTCCTCGCGCGGCAGCACTGCCCGGCTCGTCCTTATATCGGGCCCACCGTCGCAGCGCGAACCCGTGGGAGGAGGAGGATCTCTAGCCGCGACGCGACAGGGGCTGCTGGCAGCGTCGGCGGGAAGACACTCTTCCGCCAAACCCGCTTTCTCGCCTCCCAGCGCCGCGATACCTGCTGCCGCTCGGGCAAGGCACATCGCCGGTTCCTCCTCCACGCTTCCACCCAGCATCCCAACCGTTTCGCTAACTCCGTCCCGAAGCCTATTGGTCTGATTCGAGCAAGCCCCGCCCCCACTCACTGCCCCCTTAATTCCGCCGTGCGCGCCCCCATCTTCCGGCGGTACAACCGCTACGCGGAACACTTGCATCTCCCGCCCTTCGATCCCCTCCGCTTCGGAATCGCTACTGTCGTCTTCAATTCCCGCTATGCGCGCCGCACTCACCGCTGCGCGCCTCTTCCGCCTCTTACTCCTCCTCGCTACTACGCCACCTAACAGTTTATTTCGAAACGGCTCTAAATTACTCCTCGCAACCACGGCGCCTAGCAGCTCCAGTCCGCACCGCTCCTCCTCCCGCCTAAGCCCCTTAACTACACGCACTTGTAACTCGCTGTCAATCTTGACAATCCCCACCGTCCCCACCATCTCCGCCGCCTCTGCCGTCTCCGTCATCTCCGCCGTCTCCGAAATCTCCGCCGTCTCTGAAGTCTCCGTCGTCTCCGCCGTTTCCGCCGTCTCCGCCTTCCCCACCATCTCCGCCACCCGTACCGCCCGCGCCATGTCGACCATCTCCGTGCCTTCCGCCTCGCTTTCGGAGCTCGAAACTACCGGCCAGCTGAAGATGCTCCGTACCGACTCCGCCGCGTCCGACTCGCCGTCTCCTCGCTCGTCCCACAACCCTACGTTACTCGCGTCCCACGATTGCTCCGACCGCCAATCCTTCCCCGTCTGCTCGCGTGTAACCACTTCCCGCACAGCCTCTTCGTTCGCCGTCACCGCCTCGCACCGTTCCTCAAACCTCTCACTCTCCCGTCCACTAGAAGAATCATCCCGCTCGTAGTCGCCTCCTCCTGTGGCAATCGAACCGTCGCTCCAATCCTCGGACCGCTCTATACTTTTGTCGTCCGAGCACCCGTCAGCGACGCGCTCCTCGTCCTCCAGCGAGGAGCCCACGATCGTCTGGAAACAACCTGCTGAGGTGTTATTCTGGTGGCGCACGCCAAGAGCAGACGACTTTAAGCGGCTCGCGAGGTGTACCCAGTCAAGCTGACGTGGATCCATAGCTGCTGCAATTTCCCAGGAAGGCCGGGGAGACGACTCGGCCGAGTCGCTTGAAGACACTGACGTGTCAAAGTCCTCTAAATCGTCCTCATCCACGTCATGCAGCGGGTAGCCTGTAGATCCTACAGACTGTAACTCTGCAACCTTCACTACTGCCAAGTCATCTGTTAGCGTGTCCATATGTACCTTCAAAACGGCCGCGCGGTCAATTCTATCGCTATCCTCAATCCCTTTCGCAAAAAAGTCCGGACAGTAATCCTTCCACCTACGGCTCGAAATGACCTGAGGTGATGGGCCCGAGGGGCTGTTGGCGATGGCCACACTCATATCAAAAGCGTAACCTAGGGAAGTGAGCAGTGCTCAGGGAATTGCGGCTATTCTTGAGCTTGAAGAAAGAAACCTAGCTGCGACCATCAACAGTCAAATCAATCAACGGGAGTGGATGGACAGGAACCACCCACCTTGCTGGTTTGAACCGATATGAATCGTTTCAAGACAAACTGAAAACATCTGAGCCGATTTGAACCAGGATGGTCTCGAGGTTCTCCTACTCATGGGGTCGCGGGCGCGGTGGGTATGGGCTGAGCTCCAGCCGATCGGGGGGCGCAAAGCGCAGGGCGCTCGGTACAGCAGGGTGTCGCGCAACGATCGGTCGTCAACGGAGCGCAACCTTGCGGAAAGTGCACCAGTTGTACGGAAAAGAGCGAGAAGGTGCTCAGGCGGAAATCCAAGTGGTTGGGGTCGTTGCGGCTGGGCGCGAGGCTTCGTTGGGGGGCCTGTCCGCCTTTCTATTCAACCAATGGCGTGTGGGAGCTGGTGCATCAGAAGTTCAACCTGACTTGTCACTTTGATAACCTTGGGCCCCTCGCGGCGGCCACTCGTAAGCGAGAAACGTGGCCGACGATTCTAGATACGTGTTACGGCTCGAATTTGTGGAAATAGTAATACCACTATAATTGCTAAATACTTTCACAATATCACCTGATTACTCCTATTTCTTCATGCAACATTCTACAAGCTGGTGGTGACAAGCTGCAGTTTGCGAGCCCGGAAGAACGAATGCCGTTTCTGCGCCACAGACTCAATACGCACGTTCTTCCGCTTGCGCTTGGAAGGAGCAGAGCCAGGGACAGAAACTGCGGGGCTCGATTGCTTGACCGCCCACGCCTGCCCCTCCTCCTCAGCTTCATCTGCCTCCCTGAAAGGAAAATAAAGCACAGATAATTCAGCATCAATGCTAGCATCTAGCCAAACGTTTACCACCAACGAATTTGCTTTGTAGCGCAACATATTTGCTTGCGTGCGTACCAGTGCACAGGCACGCATGAGGAGTCCATGATAGTTTTGGCGGTCGCCCAGCTGAAGCGCACGAGAGAGGGGAAGCCAAAGACCGGGTCCACACTGCCCGCCAACCAGGCCTTGGTGGCGGGGTCTGGGGGGCATAGGGGGGGAAGGAGAGGCAAGGGGAGCACGCAAGAGGCATCCATGATGGTCTTAGCAGTGAGTACAGCTGAAGCGCACGAGGGAGGGGAAGCCAAACACCTCGTCCACACTGCCCGCCAGCCACGCCTTGGTGGCGGGGTCTGGGGGGAGTAGGGGGAGGGAGGCGGAGGAGGGGGGGGGAGGGGGAAGAGCAGGAAACAAAAGGGAAGACGGAGACGGTGGAAGGGCGGGGTCGGAAGGGTGAGGGGGGCGATGGGAAAGAGGGAAGAGGAGGGAAAGGGGCGGGCGCACAAGGCAAAGGGGAGGGATAAAGAGAGGTTGTGTGGAGAAACAAGGTGGCTTATCCAGCAATCCACATCACCTCCCTTTCCAACCCTTCTCTCCTCTACACATTCCTCTTTCCACTCCGTTTCCTCCACAATTCTTTCCGCATCCCCTTCCTCTCCCACCCTCTCTCCCTCTCACCTCCAGGGTATCCTGAACCCAGATTCAGATTGAACGCTTCTCCTGCCGCTGCTTCTCCCCTTCCTGCTTCTTCGACTTCTTCTCCTTCCACTTCTCCTCCCACCGCTGCTGCTGCTTCTGTGTTTCCAGCTGCCTCCTCCCCTCCGGCTGGACAGCCTTCCCTGTCGCCCTCATTCGGCCCCGCGGCCAACAAAGCTCCCTCATTCGGTTGACTCGGAAGAATGCGGCTACCCAGTTGACTGTATCGACTTTGCTGCTGGGAGGGGCGGACCGACGGTGCATCCTCAGAGAAGGCCCACTGCTGAATGCAGTGATCGCGAGTCACCTGGTGGGTGGGGAAAGGGAGTGCGGTGTTGACTTGGTTGACCGGGTTGACATTGCTGCTGGGAAGGGGAGAATAAGTGGTGCATCTTCAGAGAAGGCCCACTGGTGAATACAACGATCGCGAGTCACATGATGGGCTTGTGTTTGGATGGCGGGTGGGCATGTTGGGTCGAGGGGAGAGCGTGCAGGGTTGACTGAGTTGTCTCGGTTGACTTTGCTGCTCTAAGGGGAGGACCAGCGGTGCATCCTCACAGAAGGCCCACTGCTGGATGCAGCGGTAACGATGCACAGCCTACCAGCCTACCAGCCTAAAAGCCTAACAGCCTAACAGCCTAACAGCCTAACAGCCTAACAGCCTAACAGCCTAACAGCCTAACAGCCTAACAGCCTAACAGCCTAACAGCCTAACAGCATAACAGCGTAACAGCGTAACAGCGTAACAGCGTAGCCTAACAGCGTAACAGCGTAACAGCGTAACAGCCTAACAGCGTAACAGCCTAACAGCGTTACAGCCTAACAGCCTAACAGCGTAACAGCGTAACAGCGTAACAGCGTAATAGCGTAACAGCGTAACAGCGAAACAGCCAAACAGCGTAACAGCGTAACAGCGTAACAGCCTAACAGCGTAACAGCCGAACAGCCTAACAGCGTAATAGCGTAACAGCCTAACAGCCTCACAGCCTAACAGCCTAACAGCCTAACAGCGTAACAGCGTAACAGCGTAACAGCCTAACAGCCTCACAGCATAACAGCCTAACAGCCTAACAGCCTAACAACCTAACAGCGTAACAGCGTAACAGCCTAACAGCCTCACAGCCTGACAGCGTGACAGCGTAACAGCGTAACAGCCTAACAGCGTAACAGCCGAACAGCCTAACAGCGTAATAGCGTAACAGCCTAACAGCCTCACAGCCTAACAGCCTAACAGCCTAACAGCCTAACAGCCTAACAGCGTAACAGCCTAACAGCCTAACAGCGTAACAGCGTAACAGCGTAACAGCGTAACAGCGTAGCAGAGTAACAGCGTAACAGCGTAACAGCCTAACAGCCTAACAGCGTAACAGCGTAACAGCCTAACAGCCTAACAGCCCGACAGCGTACCAGCGTAACAGCCTAACAGCCTAACAGCCTAACAGCGTAACAGCGTAACAGCGTAACAGCCTCACAGCATAACAGCCTAACAGCCTAACAGCCTAACAACCTAACAGCGTAACAGCGTAACAGCCTAACAGCCTCACAGCCTGACAGCGTGACAGCGTAACAGCGTAACAGCCTAACAGCGTAACAGCCGAACAGCCTAACAGCGTAATAGCGTAACAGCCTAACAGCCTCACAGCCTAACAGCCTAACAGCCTAACAGCCTAACAGCCTAACAGCGTAACAGCCTAACAGCCTAACAGCGTAACAGCGTAACAGCGTAACAGCGTAACAGCGTAGCAGAGTAACAGCGTAACAGCGTAACAGCCTAACAGCCTAACAGCGTAACAGCGTAACAGCGTAACAGCCTAACAGCCTAACAGCCCGACAGCGTACCAGCGTAACAGCGTAATAGCCTAACAGCCTAACAACGTAACAGCCTAACAGCGTAACAGCGTAACAGCCTAACAGCGTAACAGCCTAGCAGCCTAACAGCGTAACAGCGTAACAGAGTAACAGCGTAACAGCCTAACTGCCCAACAGCAGCCTAACAGCAGCCTAACAGCAGCCTAACAGCAGCCTAACAGCAGCCTGATAGCAGCTTAACAGCCTAACAGCAGCCTAACAGCCTAACAGCAGCCTAACAGCAGCCTAACAGCAGCCTAACAGCAGCCTTACAGCAGCTTAACAGCCTAACAGCGTAACAGCCTAACAGCGTAACAGCGTAACAGCGTTACAGCGAAACAGCCTAGCAGCGTAACAGCCTAGCAGCATAACAGCCTAACAGCCTAACAGCCTAGCGGCCTAACAGCGTAACAGCCTAACAGCGTAACAGCGTAACAGCGTAACAGCATTACAGCGTAACAGCCTAGCAGCCTAGCAGCCTAGCAGCCTAACTGCCTAACAGCAGCCTAACAGCAGCCTAACAGCCTAACAGCAGCCTAACAGCAGCCTAACAGCAGCCTAACAGCAGCCTAACAGCAGCCTAACAGCAGCCTTACAGTAGCCATACAGCAGCTTAACAGCAGCCTAACAGCCTAACAGCAGCATAACAGCCTAACAGCAGCCTAACAGCAGCCTAACAGCAGCCTAACAGGCAAACAGCTGTTAGAATTGTATGTTCTAGCATGCCAACACTTGTAACTGTACACCAATTGTGGTGTACAGTGAGTGTAGTCTCTAAGTGTACACCAAGTGTACACCAACTGTACACCAAGTGTACACCAACTCTACACCAACTTTGGGTGTAGTCTTGCATTGTGGGGTGCCAATCCAACCCAATTGTGGTGGAGCCCCCAAATGCAACTCACTTGGCCTCGGGTTGCCAAAAGTGAGGCCAACCCAACCCAAGTGGGCCTGAGGTTGCCTCACTTCCCACAAAGTGTGGTCAACCCAGCTTTTCTTCCCCAAGCTTTTCATCCAACCTATGTATGCTTGTTCTTCCTCTAATTAAACCAATGGTTCACTTTACAACTTTCACATGGTATAGAGCTAATTTTTCCAAGGCCTTACCTCTTCCCCCCTCCAGCTTTTTTTTTCCTTCCATGGGCCCACCCTTCCCCACTTAGTCGCCGTGGCCTAGACCACCGCCGCCGCCCCCAATCACGCCCGTCAGATCTGCTCCTGCGGGCATTTCGCCCGTCAGTTCTGCTCCCGCGGGCATTTCGCCCGTCAGATCTGCTCCCGCGGGCATTTCGCCCATCAGTTTTGCTCCGCGGGCATTTCGCCCGTCAGTTCTGCTCCCGCGGGCATTTCGCCCGTCAGTTCTGCTCCCGCGGCCATTTCGCCCGTCAAATCTGCTCCCGCGGGCATTTCGCCCGTCAGATTTGCTCCCGCAGGCATTTCGCCCGTCAGATCTGCTCCCGCGGGCATTTCGCCCGTCACTTCTGCTCCCGCGGGCATCTTGCCCGCCGCGGGTCCACCCGCCGTCGCCTTACCCTTGACCGCCGCGGGTCCACCCGCCGTCGCCCATCATGGCTGCTAACCCCCCTGCCCCTCCCCTCCCTCCTCGCTGGACCAGTGTTACCCCTCGCCCCTCCCTCATGCACATTTCAACCCTACCCTCCTTCCTCCCTGCTCACCTCCACCTACTCACCCTCTCCCCCCCTCCCCAGCTGCAGCGTTTTCGGCAGCTTCAGCAGCAGCAGCCACAGCCGCCACTGTTTCTCCAGCCGCAGCAACCACAGCGGCAGCAATGCTTCCAGCAGCAGCAGCAGCAACCACAGTTTCCCCAACAGCAGCCGCAGCGGCAACAGTGCTTCCAGCAGCACCAGCAGCCACAGTTTCTCCAGCCGCAGCAGCCACAGCTGCAGCAGTGCTTCCAGCAGCAGCAGCAACCACAGTTTCCCCAGCAGCAGCCGCAGCGGCAGCAGTGCCTCCAGCAGCAGCAGCGGCCACAGTTTCTCCAACCGCAGCAGCCACAGCAGCAACAGTCCTTCCAGCAGCATCAGTAGCCACAGTTTCTCCAGCAACAGCCGCAGCGACAGCAGTGCTTCCAGCAGCAGCACCTGCCGCTGTATCCCCCTTCTCTCCATGAGACGTCTCTCCAGTACTCTGCGTCACCTCCCTCTCCCTGCTCCCGCACCCTGGACTTCGTCCTTGACAGTGGAGCCACCGAAACTGCACTCAAAGACGCTGGCACCCTCACCCCCCTTCCACTTCCCACCCAGGTTCATGGTGCCGACTCCAGTTTTTCCATCCCCTGCACTCACCTCTCCACCCTTCCTTGCACCGCTTTCCCATCTGGTACAGTCACAGGTCTCCACATCCCCACCCTTCGCAATAACATCCTCTCCCACCGTGAGCTTCAAGGCGTTGGTATTACCGCCATTTACCCTGGATTTGCTTCCTACTGTGATCTCTACCACACCGCCTCTGATCGCTTCCTCCTGCGCATTCCCCTTTGCCCTCGCACTCGCCTTTACACGCTCCGCACACCCCGTCCCTCGTTCTGTCACGTCACCACCCGTGCCGGTACTTCCACCGGTCCCCTTCCCCCTCCCCCTCCCCCTCCCCCTCCCCCTCCTATATCCTCCTCCTCTACCCCATCCCCCTCCTCCTCCCCCACCTCTTCCCCCACCCCTTCCCCCTCCTCCTCTACTACCCTCTCCCACCCTGCAGTGCTCTTGCATCACAGACTCGGCCATCCCAACTTCGCTGCACTTCGCTCGTCCGTTACCTCTCGCCTCCTTAACAGCCTTCCTCCCACATTACCTCCCCTCCCCTCCTCCCGTGCTCCTCCATGCCCATCCTGTATTCATGCAAGCTCAAACAGTCCCCCCATCACAGTCATCCCACCTTCGCTGCCGCCCTCATTGCCCTTGTTCACATGGATCTCTGGGGCCCTTATCCCATCCGCTCCCGTCAGGGGCATTGGTACATGCCAAGGTGAGAGTGGGCAGATGCGCAGTGCTGCCAGCATTGCTGCCAAGGTGAGAGTGGGCAGATGCGCAATGCTGCTAGCATTGCTGCCAAGGTGAGAGTGGGCAGATGCGCAATGCTGCTGGCATTGCTGCCAAGGTGAGAGTGGGCAGATGCGCAATGCTGCAAGCATTGCTGCCAAGGTGAGAGTGGGCAGATGCGCAATGCTGCCAGCATCGCTGCCAAGGTGAGAGTGGGCAGATGCGCAATGCTGCTAGCATTGCTGCCAAGGTGAGAGTGGGCAGATGCGCAATGCTGCCAGCATTGCTGCCAAGGTGAGAGTGGGCAGATGGGCAATGCTGCCAGCATTGCTGCCAAGGTGAGAGTGGGCAGATGCGCAATGCTGCTAGCATTGCTGCCAAGGTGAGAGTGAGCAGATGCGCAATGCTGCTAGCATTGCTGCCAAGGTGAGAGTGGGCAGATGCGCAATGCTGCTAGCATTGC